CATCACACAGAAACGAAAAAAAAAAGACACGTAAATATACACATATACAGATATATAAATATAGATAGATAATATATAGATAATATAGAGGAAAAAAATAGACATAGAAAGGAAAATTCATTTATTAGGCAATTGTAGTTTAAAAAAAAATATATGAAAGGAATAACAATGTCAATAAAACAGCAGAGAAAAATAATAAGAAAGAATAGAATAAAATAAAGTGTACCTTCTTTTCTTTTCTTTCTTTTTCATCATAATCATCATCATCAACGTACATTTATTTTTTACCAATCTCCCCATGGGCCAATATTATCCTCACGTATAATCTCCGCACTCCAATTACTCTTTTTCTTCTTTACTTTCCCTCCTTTCCTTCTGTTGATCATCCCACGATTCTCTTCTTCATCATCTTCATTATTCCGATGTGAAATCTCTGTTAACTCCAATAGATCCTCTCGCTCTTCCACCACAGGGGGAATGGACTCTCTTAACAGTGATATCTGTTCTTCTTCTTTTCCTTCTTCTTGTTGTTGTTGTTGTAATGTTAACGATAATAATGATACGGATTCTCCTAACAAAGTATGTGTATTCCTCAGAATAGAATGATCCTTATCAACATCATTAACAACAGACGTTTCTACAGTTTCACTTTCAGCCAAATGAGAAAAGGGAATAGACGGCATGTGCGTAGTGTTGATATCGGAGTTTCTCACTATATTCATATTATCATCCTGTGTGAAGTATACCCGCGGCGGTAGTCGAGGATCCGGAGAATATAATATAGATCCCTGAGATGCTGTGAAGTCTTTTAAATAAAACTCCTCTCTTTCCATTTTTTTTTCTTTTACTTTTTCTTTTTCTTCTTCTTCTTCTTGTACAGTATGAACATGCAGCTCTTTCTCTCCATCTATTAAAAGAGATTGTAGAAGTTCTTTACCTTTATTTAACTCATTCCGTACAGTTTCAAGTTCCTGACGGGTTTGATGTAATGCCGCCTCCACCCGATCACGCTCTTGCATGAGAGAAATGTTTATCGTATCTTTATTATTACTACTCTTCTTCCTCTTCTTATTAATATTATTACTCTTATTATTATTATTATTATTATTATTATTATTATGATTGGATTTAACTATAGAAGGAACTGAATGAACTTTTACTGCAGTACTGTGCCGTGGAGAAGGAATAGGGCATCTCTGCTTTAACACAACCTCTCGTTGTTGATTTTCTTCTTTTTCTTCTTTTTCTCTTTCTTCTTGTTGTTTTCTTCTAAGATCTGTTAATGCCATTCGAGTCTCCTTCAGTTGTTTCCGCAGTCGTTCAATCAACGCTTCCTTTTCCTCTGCCCGGCAGTGTAAAGCACTGTTGAGTTGTTGTTGTCGCCGTACGCTTTCCTGCAGTTTAACAGCCGCAGCGGCATTTCTCTCCATTTCCTGCAATCTTTTCTTTACATCGCTGGCTGTATTTTCCACACGGCGGCAACGAAGAGCCAATTTATATATACCAACATACACTGCCACTGCAGCCTCAAATAATAATAAGGAAGAAGATGGAGGATTGTTATTATTATCACTATCACGATAAGAATAAGAATTACTATTATTATTATTATTATTATTATTATTATTATTATTATTATTATTATTATTATTATTATTATGATTATTCCCATGCGAGAGAAGTCGTTGTAAGAGAAAAAGAGCATCACGGCAATTACCGCACATATCCTCATGACCATTATTCCCTGCGTTATCATAATGATTCCTCTTCATATTCTTATCATTATACTTCTTCCTCATTTTCATCATCATTATACTCTTATTGTCACTATTATTATTATTATTATTATTATTATCTTTCTTCGCTTTGATGAACACCTCAACGGCACATCTGGCGGCATGCAGAGATTCAGCAGAGGGCCATGGAAAGGATACTGGAGGAGATGTAGTAAAGATATTATATTTAGATGAAGTAGTAGTAGTAGTATTAATATTAGTATTACTATTATTATTAACAGGAACAGAAATATCTTCTGCATAAATAGATGAAGATGAAGAAGAAGAAGAAGGGGAATGAGGATTATTTGATAACGGTGGATAAGACTCACGGGCTAATCGTTCCAAATCCGTTTCTCGTTGCGATGGTAATTGTTGTAATAATAATAATTCTGGAGATATCTGTACAACTCCTGTTAAGGAAGAAGAAGAAGAAGAATAATGATGATGGATATTATTATCCTCCACAGATTCTTTTTCTTTCTCTTCTTCTTTTATATTCTTCTTTTCTTCTTCTTCTTTTCTTTTTCTTCTTTTATTCTCTTCTTGCTGTTTCTCTGCGAGTTCCTGCCGAAGCCGCTGTTCTCTCTCTAACCATAGACGGAGTTCATCCCGTTCTCTCTGCAGTTGTGTACATTCCATTTGTAATTGTTGGGACTCCACACGGGCCGCCTGCAGGACGTGAAGAAGATACATCACTTCTCGCCGACTCTGCGCTTTGGAGTTTATACTTATATCCATATTATTATTACTATTACTATTATTATTAATAGTATTGATAGTATTGATAGTATTAGTAGTATTGATAGTATTAGTAGTATTTATAGTATTAAGAGTATTCATATAAGGAAACAAAATGCTTACATGATCGTATACATTTTCATTTAAAGGAACATTCATCCTCATCCTTATAGCTTCCATACCTTCTCCCGGTTGTAATTCACTATTATTACTATTAGTACTATGAATAATATTATTACTATTATTATTAATACTATTATTGAATGACTTTAATACGTTATTTTCCTCACGTAGTTGCTGAACTATTTCCTGCAATTGTTTATACTGCATGTGTAGATGCCGCATCTCCCGCCAACGTTGATGAAGTATGTGAATAACAGAAGAGTAACGATCATGATAGTGATCATCATCATCATTATCTGTACAGTTATTTCCATCCATATTCCCTTTTCCTTCTTTTCTACTATTATCACTATTACTATTATTAATATTCATAGTAGTAGTAGCCGTAGGACCAAGAAGGAGTGAATCTATATTATTATTATTATTATTATTCCCTAATCCATCCAATCCTTCTTCTTCTTTTTCTTTAAATGGTAATAACAATTGGGCTACAGTAGAGAATAGTTCCTGTACAGCAGTTGCATGGAATGGATAGCCATGTTGTTTAAATACCGCCATCACTGCAGTGATATCATTATTACTATTATTACTATTATTATTATTATCGTTAAGAAGTCTCTTCCTTTCATCATTCATAATGTCACTAGAAACAATACACGCATACACTTATGGGCATCTATAGGTGATAACCATACATTCATTCATTTAAAAAGAATAAAAAGAAAAGAAAGAGAGAAAAAGAACAAAAAATATCATTTAACGATAAGAGAGGAAAGATGAGATAAAGAAAACGGAACAGTTTATTATATATATATATATATATATATATAT